GGTGAATCCGGAGGGAAGGGAAGGTAGGGAAAGGAAGAGGTGGGGGATTCGTCTGCAGGTTCGAGTGGCATTCGGAAAGTAGAGGGAGGGGGCTGATAGACTGAATGGTGGGGGTGGGAGTTGGGCCGTTGTATAGAAAGGCTCCAGGGAACGCCTGCGCTGGCGGGGCGGCCGCCGAAGCCGCTGCACTACAGGAAGACCCTGAAAGAGGACGCCTCTGCCATGCGGGTGGCCCGGTTGGGTTGGGATGAGGAGGGTGGAAAAACGGGGGTTGTGGTTTTGGTGCTGGGGAAGAGATTCAACTGCCATGCTGTGGCAGTGAAATTTATGAACTATAGTTCATCTGCATAAATCATTTGTAAAACTGAGATTTAGACAAAATGATTAGCTGTTATCTTGGCATCTCATCTGAAGCAACGCTAGAGAGAGAGAACAAGGAAATGTTATTTTAAGCCCGCTCCTCTTTCCTTTCTTGGAAAGGCTAATTGGTGGACTCTCGTAGTGCCTGCCACCATACCTGTTTTTTCTGGTCTGTACCTTGAATTTGAGAAACATAACACATCTCAAAATTTGTGACTGCTTTGTCTTTGAGGCATCAAAACGGGGATTACTAATTATACCAGCCTTTCCTAAATGGGCGAAAAGTCTATGAACTAAGTTTATTGTTTCTCGCAAGATCCATGCCGCAGCGAACCGAAGGTCTTTTTATTTACCAGTTGCGCTCGCCAAAAATGCAATATCGCCGCGGCTAATTCATGAAATATGTTGTTTAAACATTTTTCAAAATTATCAGAATATGAAATTGATAAAAACAACAACTTTTTTTTAGGGCGGTTTGCCTTGCGTACACTGACATCTCTCTTCGTTTAGTGCTTTCCCTACTAGGTGATTTATTTAATTAGACCCTGTGTGTGTTTGTGTATGGGGGGGGGGGGGGCTGTGGCATTTCACTTCATTTCTCTATACATCGCTTGAGCGAAACTAACTTCCCCAATGGTACAACACACGTGCTTGGAATTCCACACCAACATAATGCATAGCATTTCATATGGCCCTTGGTTAGATCTCCGAGGAACGCGGATTTCGTTTGAAGGTAAACACGCCGTGGAGTGCTGAGTCCAGAGATGGACCAGGGCCGGGCCCGCGCGGCGGAGCGATGGTGGCGGCGGACGGGTGCAGAACGCTTTGGCATTTTGTATGTTTTGGGAATGTGAGCGTGTACGAGTGCGTCCGCCCCGCCCCGCCCCTCCCCCCACCGAGCCCAATTACGTATAAAGTTCGTGTGACATCAACGGACATCGCTCATGTCGTCGCCTCAAAGCGCAGCGGTCCCCGCAGTGTGTGCCCAACGTCCCTGTCGAACTAGAAAGGAGGTCAAAACCAAAGTTGTTGTTTTTTTTTTCTTAAAAAAAAAAAAAAAAAAAAACTCGGTAAAAACAACGCCTGGTTTTTAAGCAGACTGGTGAAAACCAAGCAGCTTCTTGAGATTTTAAGACAGAGACTGGTTGGTTTAGTCCGGTTTGACAGTTGTTTCCACCTTGAAAGGATGATACTTTAATACTTGATGTTCTATGAAATCCATGAGTCCATCTACCAAATCTAAGCTCGACCGCCAACAGGACAACAAATTATTGCCTTCGTTTTTAGCACAATCTGAGCAAAAATAGCACGAAAGTTTCTTTATCGAACAAAAAACCATAGCATTGTCGGCTACTAACTGCAGCTCTGCGGACCTGTCCGTCCGACCCATTATTTCTTTTCCTTTTTTCCGTCCCATGTGGTTCTTTGGTGTCAGCGGCGCCTGTAAGCGGTGGATAATTACCGAGACATGGCCCGGCACGGGTGGGAGCTAGAGGTCAGGGGAAGGGGAAGCTGGAGAGGGCAGGGCCCTGCAGGGGCGCGCGCCCCCTTCTCTTTCCTTTCCCAGTGTTTATTAGATTATCGTCGGGACTGGTGCCCCGCTGCATTCGGTCGCTCCACTCCGCTCCTCCTCCTGCGCTGCTGCTGCGGCCATCACCGCGCTCTTTTGCATAGCGCGACACGCGAAGATAAAAAGAGCGAAGGGGGCGACAAGCCGGCCCTGTGTGAACTGTATTAATCTCTCTCTCTCTCTCTGGAGCCCAGAGGCGAGCAGGTTCCATCACGAGATGTAAAAACATTTCATCAACCTATTTTTTCACCAAAGGTATTGTGTTGACTGCAGACTCTGCATACTTGGGATCATCAGTGAAGTTTGTCTATCATTTTGCAGTCACAAAAACTGCCAAGT